GAAACCAGTCTGGTTTGCGAGGATGCCGCTGGGTTGTTGGAACCGACGGGAGCACTTTTGGGGACTCTTCACCCCTGCTTGCCGGGACCTTGATTGAATCAAAGCAGGTGCACTCATAGGACCTGGACTAAGTGTTGACTTGCGTATTGTCCCATATGGATTAGCAAGCCCAGTGTCGATCGGCTCGACGGGAGGTTTAGAGTTAGTGCTCCAAGTTCCGTATATAGGTGCAGTTTGGGCATTTCCTTGCTCAGATAAACTTCTGTCCCGTGCATTCGTAGAGGGTTGGCTGTCACTCGTAGGTACTCCGGTGCCACCTTTGCCATTGTCGGACTCTTTCTTTCTCGAGTACTGCATCATAGCGTTAGCCTTGCATATATAGAAAGAAAGATGACGATATAGAGAAGAGATACATGCCCATTTACTTTTCGTCTGTGTCGACGGGGTGCTAACAGGCGATATAGCGGCTTTCTCCGTTTCCGCGCCGTGTTTCTCAATCCACCGATTAGCAAAAAAGCCCATTAAGCATTAGATACGTTGATTAAGTACGTGCTAGCACGTTGGGGACACCGTAGACGGCGAGGTGATTATTGCGTTTTAGAATGGAGGTGTCCGAGAAGGGGAGCCTTGTTGGAACAAGTCGGAAGCCGTCTCATTCGGCTGTAGCAAATTCACTGCTCGAAACTCAAACATAAATAGAAGGAAAAGTAATCTAATTCCAGACATAGCAAGAATTCATCGATAGACAAGAAAGAAATAGCAAGATTATCTGGTTCTACTACGACGTTAAGTCCAGTCTGTGAGAACAATCTGTCAGCAAGGACGTCGGCAAATTCACGCCCGTGATAGCCATCAGTACTCCGATGGGGTTTCGTCTTCATATTGGCCGATAGACGATTCTGCATATGTCTCATCTCCGGCACCATTTCTGGAGCATACCCTTGAGCCGCTATTCCAACCATGAGATGATTAAACTCACCCTTCCTCATACTAGAGATTTAATGATAATTAGAACAGTATCGCCCTTGTGGATAATCACTCACTTGTTGATATTCAGAGATCAGATCGATTACGTTGCTTTCCGCTGAGAACGAGGGCCGTTAATTTAAATGCAGGGACAATGAAGGACTGGGGATCACCTTCGGAGAACTCGAGCTCATCCATGCCTTCCCCGGTATACCAATGCATAAAGGCCTTGCGCTTGTACATTGCAGAGAAAAGATTAGCAATCCTCTTGAACATTTCTTGGATGGCAGTCTAAAATGGCATGGTCAGTGAGTGCTTGTAATAGAGTAGAGTACGATCCACTCACCGTATTCGACAGGCAAACTCCAGCCTGACTCTGGCCTACCGGAGGAACAGAACACAAGGTGATAGAAACATTATCGGGGATCCATTCGACAAAGGCGGAGGAATTCTTCGTTTGCAGCTGCTGGACAGCTATCTCTATTTCTTGACTTGATATTTTACCGCGGAAAATAGTGGCAGCCGTGAGGTATCGACCCATCCTTGGATCGCAGGCTACCAGTAGATTATTGCGATCGAACAAAGACGCCACTAGCTCTGGAACCGCCGGACTCTGTTGAGGGGTCAGAGACACAAACAATCTCACTATCCAAGTACTCACCTGATAGGCACTTGTTATATCCGATACGAGAGGTCCATAACTTGGCAGTAGATAATGAAGACGAGGAAATGGAATTAGGTTCATACCCAGCTTCCTTAAGTCCCCATTCAACTGACCCGGGAACCGAAGACTGGTACTAACACCGCACATCACTTGGGCAATAACCCGGTTCAGGTCATTAAAGTCCGGATGTGGCTTCTTGAGGTTGCGGACATTGATATTATGGAGGGCTTCATTATCCATGCAAATGGTAAGGTCACTATTCTCCGTCAGTTGATGGATGGATAGCATAGCGTTATAGGGCTCTACAACTGTTTCCGACACGAGTGGGCTTGGCATCACGGAGAATGTTGCTAGCATCCTATCCGGCTCTTCTTCACGGAGCTTCGAGAGCAATAAAGTACCAAGCCCTGAACCAGTTCCACCACCGAGAGAGTGGACCAGTTGGAAGCCCTGTAAAGCATCGCATTTCTCTGATTGCTTCCTAACTAGTTCCTGAACAAAAACGTCAGCAAAGCGTTCCAGACTCATTCAATGATCTACCAATAAACTCTCGACGAGCTCTGCACCTTCTGTATAGTCTAGAATTTAAGGGGAAAGCTTCGTAATTTTATTCTTTCTCGTGGGAAGGGTACAAACTCACGGCCCTTTCCCCAGTTATTAGCAGCTCCGCTGTCGGCATGTACCCAAGAGTCTGGGGGAAATAGTTTTCCTCGTTCACCACTTCTCAACTAGTGATAGAACCAGGTCTGAGTTGTATATAGTCCCGGTCGGAAGAAGAGGTGCTCACCCTGCCGATAACACCACCTTCGAGATCTACCTGGACACTGCGTGGTACGTAACGTGCAGGTTGCCCCGCGCGGGGTTCAATTTCCTCGAAGTATGTCCCAATTCGATCCAATTGTTGAGGATCTTTCGATTTATAGACCTATAAATGAAAAGGTGCATTATACGAATGTAGATTGGATGAGCAGGGTCGGATCAACAGTTGACGATCAGGTTCAGAACGTACTCCGCCTTCATCTAGGCCATGCTCAGCCAGAAGCATACTCCAAAAGGCATCTCCAATCTGTGGACAGGTGACCAGTTTTGAGATGGTTTATATCAAGAATCAACAGCATGATAAACAGAATCGGAGTTAGCAACTACGACGACTTGTTTCAAAGGGAAATATAAAACAGCGGAGCATCACTTGCCTGATTTCCGGCCTTTTTTCGTATAGAGTTGTATCAGAGAACGTATTTAGTATGAATAAAGCGGCGTGGAATAGCAGGTATGTATGAGCTTTTGCGAGCGGGATACAATGCGGTAGGAGCTTACTTGACCGGCCTAAAACAACGCGTCAAATCACTCACAAGTTGCAGACAGAGTATAAATTTACCTGAATGTTAATAATTTCCCTTGACATTGTGCTGATTAGGACTAGTTATGGTCGGGGCCAAAAATGAAATTTAAACTCATGGCAAGCCAAACCCGTAGCTTAAACCACAACCACAATGGCGCTAAACGCCTACACCATTTATGGCGATCCTCTAGTCGGACAAACACAACCAAAACATTCTAGGACGCGTTCTGAAGAGGGTCTCACGATCGCAGAACAGGCCACCCAGCTAACCAACCGAGCCTTTAACGGCTCCACATTTGTTCCTGCACAGAGAACGTACGACGAACTTGGTAGACCATTGGACAACGAAACCATATCAGAAACCAATTCACGAATACCCTCGTCAGCTAATTCGGTTGGCGACTGGTACACATCCCTTCAACGAACGCACAGTGTGACCCCACAGCCAGCACCAACTCGCAACAAAGGCAAAGTTGGAGAGAAGAGTCGAATTTACAGGGGTGAAGAGTCCCCAAAAGTGCTCCCGTCGGTTCCAACAACCCAGCGGCATCCTCGCAAACCAGACTGGTTTCGATCAAGTTCCAGTCCAGCCGCTATTGAGAGGCCTCCGTTGCCCTCGTTGGCAGAAATGATTCGCCGTGATCCTCCTGATCCGCAGAACCCTTTGGAACCCCCTGTCTATTATGGCATCGCGCCTACAAATAAAGGTTACGAGATGCTTACCAAAGGTGGATGGGTGGAAGGTCGTCCATTAGGTCCCCAAAGTCATGATATACACGCTAAAAAGCCAAACCAGTCTATAGGAAAGCCATTAGCTCCGACGCATACAGAAAATCTTGCTTTCTTAGCAGGCGATATGCCCACACTAGTGGTGCCAGGGCCCTTTCCTGGTGATATTAAAACCATCCGTCTCAGACGAGGGGATAGTACAGATGAAGAAGACGATGAAAAAGAAGATTCGGGTGGATTTGAAGACGAGCACGACACGATGTTCAATCAAGTAACGACTTCTACCTCCCGTGCTTCCTCACCAGGCTCGTCGTCTAGCGAAAATTCGGGGAGTCCTGTAACCATCTCCGAAATGTTGCAGAATCGGGGACAGAGCTCTAATAGGCCTCTTCTCACTCCAATTGCAGTTGCCCTGAAGAACGACCGCAAAGGTTTGGGTCTCTCGAAGACGAGAAGGTTGGTGACACATTCCTCACTTGCTCTACATGAACACATCCAGAAGGGGAAGGCCGCACGAAGGAATCAAATATCTAAGATGAGGAGATTGGAGAGAGATTCTAAAAAGGGTCAATACGGAAGAGGCAAGAGGGCTTACGCCAAAATGGCGAAAGAGGATGCAGCAAAGCGACAGAGATTAATGGAATATATGAACACCTAGCACAGATTACCTTAGGTGGTAATTTATCTCGTCTATTTATACTGGGAACCATGCATGGACCTGTTGACAGTTAATTTTGTTCACTAGATCATAACATTGTAATATACAACATCAATAATCAGATAATCCGGCGCTATAAGCTCGAGCGTGGATTGACCACGGAATACCCATTGTTTTGGCTCTCTTCTCCACAATTAGCAAACCACCATCGCAGAGCGAGAGGCCGTTGGGCATCACCGACTCCACGCAATATCTCCTCATAAGTCGCTTTGAGTAATTCGTCCCTGTAACCCTCTTCTACCGTCAAAAGTCGTTGTAACTCTTGAAGCAGCTTCATAAATACAGTAGTTGTGGATGCCAATGAAGACATTGAAGAAATCAGGGCAAGTGATGCTCCGCTGTTTTATATTTCCCTTTGAAACAAGTCGTCGTAGTTGCTAACTCCGATTCTGTTTATCA